TGAATCGCATTCTTTATAGTTGAAGAATTTCCCACTACAGCCCAACCTCTAAGAATGTCCTTAACTGAGTAGTCTCAGAATAGCTCAAGCATTTTCAGCCAGTGTATAATCTTGATAGTTATGCTGTCAATCACTTGTTCCGTGGATCTTTCAATCCCTTGAAAAATTCTGTTATTTCTTTCTTCCCAAATAGACCAGAGGATAGCTGTTTTTGTGGTTATCCACATTACCCTTCCCCTTTTCTTCGGTAGTCTAAAGAAATTTGGGTCAAAATGGCTTACCACATCCGAAGGAGGGGTTTACCTGCAACCAAAGAGAGAAAATAAAGAGGGGGAATCAGTCTTTCAAAGGAGAGTTTCCTACCCAAACATGTTCCCAGAATTTAATAAGGTTCCCAAAACACATGTTATACCAGATAAATGGTAAGAACAATTGTAAAATAGCATGAATGGCCTTCAAAGGAGAAATTCTGGTAGACCTAGCCAGAATTCCAGCATCTCACACTCATTAGCCACAAGTCTATAAATGCTTATTACCACCTTAGAGGCTTAGACCACAGCTTGTCCCTATCTACAAGTAGTCGCCATAGCCATTTTTTCAATAGAGCCACATTCCTCATATGAATATTCACAATACCTAGACCACCAAAATTTTCAACTCTCCCATCATTCTCCTAAACTATATATTTTAAAATAATTTGGATGTATATTACTATATTCATCATATAAAATTGCCACATGCAAAGCACATGAAAATTTACTAGTTTGAAAAGAGTGCAAATGTTGATTTAGTATATAATGAATTTTACATGTATTTAGTAAAAATGTATTTATGTATTGATAATGACAATAAACAGGTTTTGGGGTGTAATCCATCCACCTCCCTTGCCCCCACCCCAAACCCTGGTGCCAATTGAATTTGATCCCACGTCTTTACATAACAAGCCAAAGATCCTATCAATTGAGCCATCATCAATTGGTGATTCCAAGCCATATTTACATTCAAATGAAATGGATACAAAATTTTACACTCAAATTGTTCAATATAAAAAAAAAGGTGGGTTCCAATTTGAGAAGGGGTTTACTTTTGTACATAAGAGCGTGGAATTATCACTACAAAACCAAACCAACTTTGTATTTTTCTTAACTAAATACTAATTATTTTATATTTATACTCTTCCCAAACGCAACCTTAATTGTTGGACTAAGGAGGCATTTGGCAAGTCATTTTATGAAGATCTTCCAAAAGCTCAAGACCACAAAAGACTGATGAGGTTTTACAAGTAGATCTTCAAAGACTAAAAGATCATTTAGTTATAATTTTTTTAAAGATCTTTTCAAAACCTAGAAAGACCGAGAGACTATTTGGCAAGCATACTTGCCTGTCCCTCTTACATACATGTTAAATGTTATGTGTGGGACCCAATAACACATTCAAACATGCAAATATTACTTGTAGATCCCACAACACACAACATAATTTCAACTAAAGAATCCCTCATTTTCCTCTCCATCTTACCAAGATTTCATTTTAAAGCTTAAGATGAACTGAATCGCTACTCCTCCAAATCTATCTAATCCAAGCCCAATTGGGTCAATTTAACCCCACAAATCGGTCCAAAATGCTCAAAAACTCCATCCCAACAAATTTCAACCAAGGATTCCCTCATTTTCCCCTCTATCGCACCAAAGTTCTAGATTGACCAAACCACTCCCCTTTCCAGATTTGCATGATCTAGGCTGAGTTAGGTCAATCTAACCCCACCAATCGATTTAGAATGCTCGAAAACCTAATACTCTTGATTGCCCACTAATATAAAAAGATTTTACTTTGGTATAGTCTCTGGTAGCGGTTGTAATGTTTGGGGTTCTATCATCTTTTGTGGATCTACCTTAACCATACTTTTACCGGCTATTTGTAGTCTCTTTTGGGAATCTCTCCTGTCATTTCTCTCATCATTTGTGGTGGATTGGGGTTGTGCTTATCTACTTCTATTGGTGATTTTAAATTCACCTTTGTTTGATTGCAGAAGTTCATTATGTTCTTGACTAAAATACCCCCTTTTTATGAAATATGGTCCTTTTATTATGAGGGTAAAAATGTAAATTGAACACTATTATTCAATGCATTCAATTCCCTCATTAAATCCCACATTTAAGATGTTAACTCCCATTCACCGTCATTGAATCATATATTTAAAGCAATTTTATTTATTATCATCACTAAATTCCACTAATTAAATCCATATGTAATAAATTAATAATTCCAATAAAATAAAAACTTATACTTTTAAAATCTACATGGAAAAAATAATGTTTTCATCTAGGTGATGGTAAGAAATCAAACCATTTTGGGCCAAATGGGCCAACTCATGTTGCCACAATTAAATAATAAAAATTTCAAAAAAATAGAAATTAAAGAAAATTTTAGGAACACTTTTAATATCATATATTCAACATATTAAACAATAATAGTTATGATAAATAAGAAATATTTTTATTAATTATGAAAATGGAATATAAAATTTAAAACCAATTAGAAAAAACTATTTTCTTATTCTCTTCTCTCTCACTAAATCTCGTATCTAAGTTATATTTTCTCATTAAATCCTATATTTGAGATATCTTTTTCTCATCATTAAATTCTACTAATTAAATCAACAACATTAATTTTAATAGTATAAAAATAAATATTTTGAAAAGTAATTTGAAAACAAAACTATTTTCTTCCCTCTCGGTGGTGGATAAGCAATTCAACCATTTGGGGTTAAATGAGTTAATCAACAATCTCATAATGTTATCGTCCGTACTTCCAAGCACATACTATTATCGTCCTCACCGACAAACCTCTAAGGCAAGTCTTACTTAAGCCCGACATCTCTGGTCGGTTGACGAAGTGGGCCGTTGAGCTCAGCGAGTACAACCTCCAGTACAAGCTGCAAACTGCCATTAAGGCCTAAGCCTTGGCAGATTTCATCGCCGAGTGCACGTTCAACTCAGAAGTCACAAATAGAGCCATCCTCCGCGGATTAAAGGCGTGGTTGGACCAGGTTAAAGGATTGTGAGCAGATGAACTACCCAGTGTTCTATGGGCATACCGGACCACGGAGAAGACCGCCACGAGAGAAACACCCTTCAATCTCACCTATGGCACCGAAGCAATGATTCCCGCAGAGATCGAAGTGCCTACGCTACGATTAGAGGCATACAGTGATCAGACAAA